CGGACACGGGGCGGCGGGCGGGCGAGGAGGACGCCGCTGCTCGCGGCCGTGCAGGGCTCAGCCGTGGCTCTGGCGGTGCGCGGGCCCTGGCCCCTCCTCCCTCAGGCCCTCTGCCCGGAGCCGGGGCTAGTGGGCGCTCGGGCTGGGTTCCCTCGCCCTCTTCGTGGGTAAATCTGTCAGCGCGGAAGTCGCCGCAGTGATTCACTGTCAGGATTTCTCCGCGGCGTTGCCCAAGGTCTCCCTCCCTGCACCCCGAAGGCTGGTTCTGCATGGGCGCGCGCCCCAGGAAAGCCTGCTTCCCGGGCTCTAGAACATCCCAGGCTGGTGGACGTCTGGGGTTCTGGTGGCCGCAGCGCTCAGAAAGGTTCCAGTGGGACAGAGCCCCCTAACCCTAAACCTTAGCCCAGGTGGGTCATCCAGTCTGTTTCAGAACACTCCTCCATTGGCCCAGGTACAAACTTGTGGCTCCTGGCTATCCAATGAGATGCCACCCTGGGGCAGTCTCTGGGACCACAGTGCTGGGGTGGCCGAACTCTGAGCCCCTGGGCCATCCTGTCATTGTGAGGCCAGAGGAAAGTGGCACTCAGCGGAGTTCAGCCCACCGAGGAGAGAGAACGCTGCTAACTCAGCTCCTGGATCCAGCCATATGGGACCTCCTGGGACGTTCCAGTGATGCAAGCCAGCAATTCCTTCTTTCATGAAACCAGTTAGAGTTGGGTCTTCCTTGCTGTACCACAGAAGAACCCTGAGTTCAAACCCACTTCTGCCACGGCCCAGGAAACATTCCGCAAGCGCTGAATGGAGGCCTGTGAGCGCTAGTGTGGCAGCAACACGATGTGGCGATGCCCGAGGCCACGTGGGACCTGGGTCTGGGCATGCCGGGTTCACGGTTCCTGTGATTCTGGCTGGGGAGGGGCCGGGGGAGATGGTGCGTGAGACTATGCTGAGGGTGCTCTGTCTCATGAAAGAAGCTTTTTAAAAATAGTGAGCCGAGTTTTAGTTTCCTTGTCTGTACAGTCGGTGATAGGACACAGCTAGGGAGAGCTTGTAGCCGGAGCCCCGGGCGTCCCAGAGACCCGCACAGCACTGGTTTCTGCTGGCATGCCCAGCTGGAAGGACCGTGTGGCTGCAGGAGGCAGTGGGGCTGTGGCAGTGCAGGGGGGTGTGCAAGAGGACAGTTCCCAATGGGGTCAGAGGTCAGACCATGAATTTGAGACGCCTGGGCCACCAGCAGAACCGGAGCCACGTCCTGTGAATCCACGCCGGGAGGCTGTGGGAGGAGAAGGCCCTGGGCCACCAGCAGAACTGGAGCCACGTCCTGCGAATCCACGCGGGGAGGGTGTGGGAGGAGGAGGCGGCCCTGGGCCACCAGCAGAACCGGAGCTACATCCTGCAAGCCCACGCGGGGAGGGTGTGGGAGGAGGAGGAGGCCGTGGGCCACCAGCAGAACCGGAGCCATGTCCTACAAGCCCATGCAGGGAAGGTGTGGAAGGAGGGGGAGGCCCTGGGCCACCAACAGAACCCGAGCCACGTCCTGCGAATCCATGCAGGGAGGGTGTGGGAAGAGGAGGAGGCCCTGGGCCACCAACAGAACCAGAGCCCGGCCTGCGAGCCCACATGGGGAGGGTGTGGGAGGCACCTTGGCCTGAGCTTGCCTCGGGATGGGCCGCCTTCAAACCCCACTGGTCTCATGGCCGGGGCCCCTAAGCCTGCCAGGACCCTTGAGCCTGTACCTCTGTCCTGCCTCCAGGGTCTCGCCCACACTCATCACGATCAGTCCCCGGGGTCTTGCCCACACTCCCCGCGCTGTCCCCAGTCTGAGGGGGTTGGAGCACTTCCCGGTGGGGCACGGGAAGGACATTTTTGCGAGTGTGCCCACTCCCTGGGGCTGTCACGGAGCCCCCAGGCCTGAGTGTAAAGCAGTGACAGTCACTTTGGTAGCGAAGCATGGCTGACAGCCCGGATGCCACGTGCTGGAATCCTGAGAACACGGCGTCTGAGTCCAGGCCGGCTTTGCCTCCTGTGACCGAGGCCAGAGGGGAGACCTGTCGGGGGGACAGGTTGGGCTATTTCCAGAAACTAGGCAATCCGCCTGGCCCCTTCCTGCACCCACGGCCCTACCCAGCTTGGTGCTAGGAGGCAGGGCTCAGGTGGCCCCCGGCACGGGCAGGCTTGGTGCCCAGCTGTGGCCACAGGTTAGGTCCTGGCCGGCCGGGCAGAGGGTCACGATGGCAACATTCTCCCAAAAACATCAACACTTCTTGGGGCTAGCAGGTGGCGAAGTGGTTATGTCACTGGACTCCCAGATGGTTGACTGCGGTTTGGGTCCCCGATCCAGTGGCTTAAAACTCACGCTGGGCACGCGGGCAGGGTGTGTCTGAGATCTGGGAGGGAGGAGAAGGGGCTGTGGGTGGCCATCCCCGTGGGAGGAGAAGGGGCTGTGGGTGGCCATCCCCGTGGGAGGAGAAGGGGCTGTG